CCTATGCAACAATTTTGCATGTTCTTCACATGTACCCCAAAACCTAAAATGCAATAAAATAAATAAATGGGAAAAAAAGACATTAATGGCCAAATTTATGTGGTGTTTATCTAATTTTGAAATATTGTAATGAATTATTCTTATATCTATTTTCTCCACTAGATTTTGTACCTTTGAGGAAAAGATATGAATTGTATATATCTTTGCCTGAGTTCTCCTCAGCATCTAGAACCATATTAAGTACTTAATACCTTCTCAATAAATAATTTTTATATAAATAAGTGAAAAAAAGATTCAGTTTTGAATGACAACAATAATTATGTTAGAGTTGCTGAGATATATTAATAGATATATTTATTCCTGAGGTAGTCATCTAACTCCAACACAATTTTTGCTGAAAAATACAAGCACCTCACAGGGCATAGCATCTCTGTAAAATATTCTTCATTAAAGCTAAGAAGATCTCTGAAACCAAAAAAATTGAGTTTCATCTTTCCAAATATCCATTGATGAGGATGGAATATGCAGCCTGATCAATAAATGAGAGACACTATAAGAGAGAATTGAGTACCTGACAGAGTTAAAAGGACTTGGGAAATGGAGCTGCTTCGCCTGTCCTGCTCATCAAATGGGGTACATCCCCCAGAAAGAGCAACCCAGAAATAGCTGTTATTTGGGAAAGAGGAGGTGGGTGTTTTACCTGAAAGTCCTGTGCCATTCACAGCTAGACAGAACTTTCAACTACAGAGTTCCCCTGTAGTGTCATGAGTGATTAAAAATCCAAAAGAAACCTTATCATTCTGGACAGAGGATTGGTAAAAGGGGCTCCTGAAAATCAGAGAATATGAAGAGGGAGATTTTTAATTTTTTTGAGACAGAATCTCGCTCTGTCGCCTAGGCTGGAGTGCAGTGGTACGATCTCGGTTGACTGCAACCACCACCTCCCAGGTTCAAGCGATTCTTCTGCCTTAGCCTCCTGAGTAGCTGGGATTACAGGCGTGGGCCACCATGCCTGGCTAATTTTTGTATTTTCAGGAGAGACATAGATTCACCATGTTGGTCAGGTTGGTTTTGAGCTCAGGACCTCGTGGTCCTCCTGCCTAAGCATCCCAAAGTGTTGGGATTACAGGCGTGAGACACTGCACCCGGCAGGAGAGGGAGAATCTTAAAGAGGAAAGAGCTTGCAAGGGGAATCTTCTAATGCTGTGAATGAATATGCATAAATTTCAGGCTTTCTGTTAAGTTGTACATTCACAGAATGTAGCCAAAGCAGCATAGTAAACTATTTTGAACTTTGTATTACACAAAGCACCACTCAAGTCTCAAACTAAATACTGAGAGGTGTGTCTATGGGACAGTAAAGGCAGAATAGTAATTTTTTTTTTTTGCAAACTGAACTGAAAATAGAATAATAATTCAAAGAAAGCGAGACAGAACATTTAGTCTGAATCTAACCAGGTTGGTCTAGCTAAGCCAAATAAAAAAAAGTCAGCATTCTCCAGAGGATATTAATAGGACCCAGATTCTAACAAAATAATGCTCAAAATGCCAAGAACACAACCTAAATTTATACTAAATATCAAGAATCAGGAAATTTGAAAAAACAATGTAAAAAAAAGGCAACATATGCCAACCCCAAGATGACCCAGATTTGTCATCTGGGAATTGCCAAATATTTTTTAAAAGTTGTAAAGTCATTATAGCCATGTTCCATATGATGAAGGTATGGTATGGATAAATGCTGCTGAAATGAAAGACAGAAATTCTAAGCAGAGAAATATCGTTTTTGAAAAACCCCAATAGAAATTTTATAAATGAAACACACAGTATATGAAATTTTAAAATTCACTGGATGAGCTCGGTGGAAGAATGGGCAATGATAAATACAGTGTCAGTGACTTAAAGTTAGATAAATAGAAATTATGCAATCACATGAATACAGAGTAAAACGATTGATATAAAATGAGCAACAACTCAGAAATTGTGGTATTCATTGAACTCCCAAAAGGAGAGAAAAAAGATATTGGTGTAGAAAACATATTTGAAGAAATAATTGCTGAAGCTTCTTGAGTTAGGGGAAAGACAAAATTACAGATTCAAGAGGCTCGACTAATCTCAAAAATTATAAGCTCAAAGCAAATTATGAGCAGAAAAATCATAATCAAACTTCTAAAAACCAAAGATAGAGGAAAATCTTGAAAATGGCCAGTAGAAAGTAATACAATGCACACAAAGGGAAAATGATTCAAATAGCTGCGTGCTACGCTTTAGAAACCACAGAGGCCAGAAGGTGGTAGAGCAGCATCTTTAAAGTGCTGAAAGAAAATAACTGTGAATCTGAAAAACAAGCAGTGGGGAAAGCATTCCCTGTTTAATAAATGGTCCTCGGGGAACTGGCCAGCCAAAGGAACCCTTTCCTTACACCTTATTAAAAAAATTAAGATGATAAAATATTTAAATGTAAAATCCAAAACTATAAAAACCCTAGAAGAAAACCTAAGCAATATCATTCAGGACATAGGCACAGGCAAAGATTTCTTGACGAAAATCCCAAAAGCAATTGCAACAAAAGCAAAAATTGACAAATAGGATATAATTAAACTAGAATTTCTGCACAGTAAAAGAAACTATCAACAGGGTGAACAGACAACCTACAGAATGGGAGAAAATTTTTGCAAACTATGCATCTGACACAGGTCTAATATTCAGAGTCTACAAGGAACTTAAACAAATTTACAAAAAGTAAAACCAAACAATCCCATTAAAAAGTGGGCAAAAGACATGAAAAGGCACTTCTCAAAAGAAGACATTCATGCAGCCAACAAACATATAAAAAAAAGCTCAACATTACTGATCATTAGAAAAATGCAAATCAAAATCACAATGAGATACCATCTTATTCCAGTCAGAATGGCAATTATTAAAAAGTCAAGAAACAGCAGATGCTGGCGAGGTTGCAGAGAAAAAGGAATGCTTTTACACTGTTGGTAGGAAAGTAAATTAGTTCAACCATTGTAGAAGACAGTGTGGTAATCCCTCAAAGATCTAGAAGCAGAAATCCATTTGACCAGAAGTCCCTTTGGTATATACCCAAAGGATTATAAATCATTCTATTATAAAGATACATGTATATGTATGTTCATCACAGCACTATTCACAATAACAAAGACATGGAATCAACCCAAATGCCCATCAATGATAGACTGGGTAAGGAAAACGTGGTACATAGACACCATGGAATGTCATGCAGCCATATAAATGAACTACATCATGTCCTTTGCAGGGACATAGATGGAGCTGGAAGCCATTATCATCAGCAAACTAACGTAGGAACAGAAAACCAAACACCACATGTTGTCACTTATAAGTGAGAGCTGAATGATGAGAACACATGGACATATCGAGGAGAACAATACACCCTGGGGCCTGTCAGGGGGGTTTAGGGAGGGAGAGCATCAGGAAGAACAGCTGATGGATGCTGGGCTTTATACCTAGGTGATGGGTTGAAGGGTGCAGCAAACCATCATGATACACGTTTACCTATGTAACAAACCTGTATGTCCTGCACATGTACCCTGGAACTCCAAATAAAAGTGAAGAAAAAAATGAAAAAGAAAATAACTGTCAATCTGGAATTCTGTGTGCAGCAAAAACAAAAAACACCCTTAAGTAATGACAAATGAAAACAGTAACGCTCTCAGATGAAAGGAACACGTTCATCTTTTTTTTTTTTTTTTTTTTTTTTTTCTGAAAAGTCAGGATAAAGTAAATGTTAAAGGAAGATTTTCAGACTGAAAGACCATAATAAGAGAGGGAAACTGAACTTCAGAATGAAGAAAAATAAAAAGAAATGGTAAATGTCTGGATAGATAGAATATTCTCTTGAGTTTGAAAAATGCATTTGACTGTAGAAAGCAAAACTTACAACATTGACTGACATTGTTAAAGTCTGTAGATATAATACATATGACAACTATACCATAAAAGGGGCGATTTTACTTGAAATTGTATAGTATTAATTGAAGTATATTCTGAAAAATAGAGTAAACATATACAAAACCCCTAGAATAACCACTTTAAATGTAATACAGAGAGACAATTACAAAACCAAGAGATAAATAAAATAACATATTAAAATATTCAAATAATCTAAAATAAGAAAGAAAAAGTTGAACAGAAAAATAAATAAATGGAGGGGGGAAACAGCAACAAGAAGCATACAATAAAGTAGTAGAGCCAAATCAGTAATTATAATAAATGTAAGTGGTAAGAACACACCAATTAAAATATATGTTAATTTAGGTGAAGAAAAGAAGACTCAACTGTACTCTATTTAAAAGAAATCCTCTTTAAATATCATGGTGTGGATAAGTTAAAAATAAAGGATAAAGAACATATGCTATGCAAAACCTAATTAAAAAAAAAAGCTGGAGTGGCTACAATAATATTAGACAAAACAAATTCTGGAACAAGAAAAATTATCAGACATAATGAGTGACATTAAAACATGGGAGAAATGTATGCAAACAATGAATCTGACAAATGACAAAAATTCAGAAAAATAAAGATCTCTCAAAACTCAACAGTATAAAAGTAAACAGTCAAATTTGAAAATGTATAAAACATGAACAGATATTTCACCGAAGAGGATATACAGAATGGTAAATAAGCAGATAAACATATATTAAACATAGTTACTCATCAGAGAAATACAAGCTAAAATCACAATGTAACAATATTTTATACCCACCAGAATGGCTAAAATAAAAAATAACCTCAAATACTGGCAAAGATGCAGAGAAACTGGATCAACGATAGATGACTGGTAGGGTTGTTAAAGCATACAGCCAATCTGGAAAACTGAGTTTCTTATAAAGCGAAACAGCCAATTACTAAATAATCCAGCAATTTCACTATTAGGCATATGCCAGAGATATGGACGAATGTTCACATAAAAGCCTCTACACGACTGTTCATAGAAATTTTATTCATAATAGCTCTAAACTGAAAATAACCCAGTCATACTTCAATGGGTGAATGGTTAAACAAACTAAGTTAGCCAAACCATGAAATAAAATGCAACAATAAAGATGAATATACTATTGATAGACATAATTACTTGATAATTATGCTGAATGTAAAAAGTTAATCCCAAAAGATCACATCATTTAGTTTTCAATTTACATAACATTCATGAAATGACAAGATTACAGATGTGGAGGACAGATTTGTAGCTGCCAGGGCTTAGGGCTAGGGCAGAGATAGGGAGAAGGTTGGTGTGGTTATGAAAGGGCACTGCTGGGATCTGTTCTGTATCTTGACTCTGATAGTAAATACATGGATTTATGAATCTACACATGTCATAAAAATGTATAGATCCAAATGCACAGGCCAGGTGCAGTGGCTCATGCCTGTAATCCCAGCATTTTGGGAGGCCAGGCCAGGCGGATCACTTGAGGTCAAGAGTTCAAGACCAGCCCTGCAAATATGGTGAAACTCCACCTCTGCTAGAAACACAAAAATTAGTCAGACATAGTGGCAAGCACCTGTAATCCCAGCTACTCAGGAGACTGGGGCAGGATAATCACATGAACCTGGGAGGTGGAGGTTGCAGTGAGCCAATATGGCACCACCATACTCCAGCCTGGGGACAGAGAAAAAAAAGACCCCAAATGCATAAACACACACACAAAAATGAGTACAAACAAGCTGGGGAAATAAGAATAAGGTGTGTGGATTTTGCCAATGTCAATATCAATATCATTCTTCTGAAATTTTATTATAGTTTTGCAAGATGTTACCATTAAAATGAAACTTTGGGGTGCAGTTAACATAGGGATTAGAGGAAATATGAAGGCAATAAATGCTCATATTAAAAAGAAAAAAGTTTTGAAATCAGTAGTTGAAGCTTTTAACTAAGTAAACTAGAAAAAGTAAAAGCAAATTTAATGCAAAGCAAGTGACAAAAAGAAACAACAAAGATTAAACTGGAAATCAGTGAATTAGAAAACAAAAGCTGTAACAAAAATCGATGAAACTGTATATCTCTTCTTTGAAAAGATTGTTAAAAAATTAACAACGTTTTAGCTGGATTGACCAAGAAATAAAGGGAAGAGATGCAAATGGCCAGAATCAGAAATGAA